CCTGAACCATCCAGGCACCGCAGTCTCCTTTTAAAATATATTTGAGGGATGCCTGGGTGGCTCAGTGGTGGAACATCTGCCTTTGGCTCAGGGCGTGATCCTGGGGTCCTGGATTGAATTCCACATTGGGCTCCCCCAGGGAGCCTGCTTCTCCCTCTGCCTGTGTCTCTGCCTCTTTCTCTGTGTCTCTCATTAATGAATGAATAAATAAAATCTTTAAATATATATATATATATTTGAGTGAAAAAGGTAAGGAGGTCGTTTTAAAAATCTTAAGTAACCAATGGTATTGCCTAATGCACATAGAGTAGAAATCACAAAACTGTTGTGTCAAAGATGAGGCTGGGGAAACCCTCGGGCACACGATTAGTAATGGTAGCTGTCACTGTTTCTATTATTAGCATTACCTTGAAGGAGTACCAGTTAAAAACCAACTGTGGGGTGATTTTGAAATTAAAAAAATATATACATCTGAGAGCTGAGTGGACAAAAGAGGATTGGGGGCCTGTGAAGCAAATAAAGAGCCCCGTGGTGAATTTCCTGATTCTCTCTCTACAAGGAGCTGGGAATCCTTTGAATCTTGGCAACCTGATGGGGAAACGGCCTTAGGCTCCTGAGGGGAAGTAGAGGTCGCTCATCTCTCCGTTCTCAGGAGGAACCCCAGAAACAGGGGAGACCAACATTATATGCAACTAACTAGGGGATCAAAGAGAAAGGGGGTAGAAGAGTGTGTGGAACAGAAGAGGGAGGTTCTGGAGGGGTAGAGTCAGGACCGGTCACCAGTCCTCATGTGAATTTCAGCCACTCCCTGCCCCCTGTCCCACCAGGCTTTGATTTGTCCTTTTGCAAAGGGTAGAGAGTGGGGCTCTAACTCCCAGGATTCTTTCAGATCAGAAATTCAGTTATTCCAAGAATTATCTGGTTCCTGGAAGGCCACTTAAAGGCCTCCCAGGCAGAGACTGTGGGTGGGGGGCAGTCGGAAGGGTGAGCCAGAGAAGGCCAATCAGAGGCCAGGAATGAGAGTAACCTGTGGGGCCTTCTGCAAAGTGTCTGTCAAAAGACCCAGGACACAGGGAGTGGCCAGGTTCAGCTAGAGACACAGCATTTTGCATTCTTCATTTTCACCTTTAAAATATCTTTTGAGGGGGATCCCTGGGTGGCTCAGCAATTTGGCGTCTGCCTTTGGCCCAGGGCGCGATCTTGGAGTCCAGGATCGAGTCCCCTGTCAGGCTGCCGGCATGGGCCTGCTTCTCCCTCCTCCTGTGTCTCTGCCTCTCTCTCTCTCTATGTCTATCATAAATAAATAAATCTTAATATATATATATATATATATATATATATATATATATATATATATATATTTTGAGGGCAGCCCGGTGGCTCAGCGGTTTAGTGCCGCCTTCAGCCCAGGTGTGATCCCGGAGACCCAGGATCGAGTCCAGCGTCGGGCTCTCTGCATGGAGCCTGCTTCTCCCTCTGCCTCTCTCTCTCTCTCTCTCTCTCTCTCTCTCTGTATCTCTCATTAATAAATAAATAAATAAATAAATCTTTAAAAATATATATATCTTTTGACAGGACAGGAAACCAAGGCTCAGAAGGAGTAATTAACCAGAAATTAACTAACATCTAGGATTCTACATTACTGGTACGTGGTTATTCACAAGCATCTAGTAAAAAGGGAAAGGCCTAGGCTTGGAAAATTAGATGGACCTGAGTTCAGAATCCCACTTCTGCAGGTAGTGGCTGTATGACTTTGGGCACGTTACTTAACTTCTCCAAACCTCAGTTTTCTGGTTTGTAAAATAGGATCAATAATAGTATGCCCATTGGGTTATTGGAAGGATTAAAAGGGACAAACACCTATAAAACACCTGTCGCAGAGTAGTGGCCCCATACTTGGGAGCTGTTGCCATGATTTTCTGAAGCTGACACACGAGATCTGTGCTGGGCTGAGAGTTCACTGCCCAGAGCTGCTCCTCCCACTTTGCCTGCTGAGTTGGAGAGCAGACACTGGCCTTAAAGCCTGGTTCCAATCATACTAGGGTCCCATCTGTCCTTCTGTGCAGCCCATGCCTTCAACCAGACCCTGGTAATATAACAGATATCCAATAAACATTAACTGAATGAATAATCATAGAATGGAAAGAGGGGCTCAAGGGGAAATCTGAGGTCAAGTGCTGTAAGAGGCTGGGCACAGGTTTGTTGTGTGTGTGATTCCAGAACAAGTGTCTCCCTGGGTGGAGGTGAGGCGACAGGTGGTGGAGGGCTGGTGATGGAAGACTTTGAAGAGCTGAGCCCTGCAGGGTAGGTGGGATTGAAGACATCTCAGAAAGAAAGGACCAGAGGACCAGAAGCTTGTTCAGGGGCAGGTGGGAGAGTCAGATTTTCAGCCCATTTTTAAAAAATATTTTACTGATTTGAGAGAGAGAGCCCACAAGTGGAGAGGGGGGCAAGGGGCAGAGGGAGAAGCAGATGCCCCACTGAGCAGGAAGCCCAATGATGTGGGGCTCAATCCCAGCACCCTGGGATCATGATCTGAGCTGTAGGCAGATGCTTAACTGACTGAGCTACCCAGGCACCCCTTCAGCCCACGTTATTAATAAGGTGCTCTGAGAAGGAATCAGGCAACTCAGAGGCAGCAAGTCCCTGTCCTTGGTGGAATTCAAGCAGAGATGACCCTGGTCTGTTGTGCCGTGGGATTGGACAAGGTGTCCCTTACTGTTCTACCCAGCCAGAGATCCTGTGACTGTAAGTCAGACTCAGTGGAGGCTCCCAGAGGTTCAAGCTGGTCTTGGTGGGCTGTGCATCTGTTACTGATGCAACAATTGCCTCATTTCTCTGCTCATATTCTTAGGTCCCTAAGAACAACTGGCTCCAGGTTTTGCAGCCTAGGGCTTACATGGAAGAGCAGGGGAAAAGGAAAAATGCTTTGCCCAGGACCAGACCTGGAGGTTTTATTCTCCCTCCTGTTGAGTCTGCCTATGAAAAATGTTTCTTGCTAGTTTTTTCCAGTATTCCCTCTCCTGCCCTCTCCAAGTTTTGGCTAACACAGGGCTAAGCACCTAAATACCATGTTTGCCAGCTTCGCCTGTAGTAAGGTGTGGCCATGTGATTAAATTCTGACCCAATGTAACAGATTCTACTTTTAGGTTGTGGCCTTAAAAATTGGTGTGGTGGGGATCCCAGGGTGGCTCAGCGTATTTAGAGCCTGCCTTCAGTCCAGGGCATGATACTGGGGTCCTGAGATCGAGTCCCACATCAGGCTCCCTGTATAGAGCCTGCTTCTCCCTCTGCCTGTGTCTCTGCCTCTCTGTGTGTGTGTGTCTCATGAATAAATAAATAAAATCTTAAAAAAAAATTGGTGTGGCTTCCCCTGGTCCCTTCCCCCACTCCCTTTCCTTGGCTGAGATGCAGATGTGATGGCAGGTACCGAAGCAGCTAGTTTGGATCCCAAAGTGGAAGCCATGTTTGTTTGTGTGTTTGCTTGTTTTTAAAGATTTATTTATTTAGTTGAGAGAGAAGAGGAGGAGAGACAAAGGGGGAGAGAATCTCAAGTGGACTCCGTGCTGAACAAAGAGCCCAACTTGGAAATTGGGGCTTGATCTCATGACCCTGAGATCAGAACCTGAGCCAAAACCAAGAGTTAGATGCTCAACCGACTCAGCCACCCAAGCATCCCGGAAGCCATGTTTTCTGGGTGTCAGAATAATGAGCTAAAAGTCGCTGGAATCCCTGACACAGTGAAGTTGTCATTTTAGCTCAAGAGTACTGACTCTTGGAGCGGTTATATGACAGAGAACTTTCTCTCCCATTTTGAGTCTTCATTACAGCCACCCAAAACCTATCTCAATCAATAGGTCTTCTTATTTGCCCTACAGTCTTCTCAAACTCTGGTCCTGATACTGATTATATATATATATATAAGGTAAGAATCTTCCTCCCCTGCAGGTGACCCCCCAGAACCCTGTACTGGCAGCCCTCTTGGCAGAGGGACAGTGAGAATCCTCGAGTTTGAGCCCTGAGTATCTGGGGCAAGTCTCTTAAGTTCTAAATCTCAATTTTCTCGGGACGCCTGGGTGGCCCAGCGGTTTAGCGCCGCCTTCGGCCCAGGGCGTGATCCTGGAGACCTGGGATTGGGTCTCACATCGGGCTCCCTGCGTGGAGCCTGCTTCTCCCTCTGCCTGTGTCTCTGTCTCTCATGAATAAATAAATAAAAATCTTTAATAAATAAATCTCAGTTTTCTCTATTTTGCAGGTGGCACCAATAAATAGCATTCACTTCAAAAAGTGGCTTTATATCTTTTAATTTTTTTAAAGATTTTATTTATTTATTCATGAGAGACATAGAAAGAGAGGCAGAGACACAGGCAGAGGGAGAAGCAGGCTCCATGCAAGGAGCTTGATGTGGGACTCAATCCCGAGACTCCAGGATCACGCCCTGGGCCGAAGGCAGGTGCTAAACCACTGAGCCACCCAGGGATTCCCTCTTTTAAATTTTAATTTCTTTTTAAGCAGGCTCCACAATAGGCATGGCCCCAGTGCAGGGCTTGAAAACTTACCACTCTGACACTGGAGATGTGAGCCAAAATCAAGAGTTGAAAGCTCAACCGACTGAGCCACCCAGGTGCCCCCAAAGGTGGTTTTATGTGAAAATGACACAATCAATAAGATTGTTCATTCTGAAAATGGACAAGAGCTGAGGAGGGGGCTTGTTTCCCAGGCAGCATGACAAAGAAATAGGAAATCCCCTTGCATTTCGTGAGAAACCATGGAGACATGTTTGCCAAAACATATGCATACCAAAAAAAAAAAAAAAAACACAAGAAAACATGCTAGCCCCTACCCATCCTCACAAAATCAGGCTCACCCTCTCCCAGGTGCATAACCAAGGACACACGCTAACAAGATGAGCTCTCACTGGCTCATGCAAACGCAGCCACACACAGGCAGAAACACAGATGATCAAAACCGCACAAAGAGACAAAATCCCACACACAACCTGCAGATGTACTTTGTTTATTGTCCTTCCTTCCCACACTCCGGGAGAGCCAATTTCTTCAGTGTCTTTCTTTTTAGGGGGTACCTTTTGCGACTCTGCCTCTCCATTTATTCCCTGCCTCTTGCTCCCTATCTTGTCCTTTTTCTGGGGCTGGAGTCACTTCCTTGGTGGCCCCTCGGAGCCTCGGTCAGGTAGGGTAAGTCCTGGGGGTGGGGTGGGGGGCAAGCAGGTCTGGATCCTGCCTCCAGGTGCCGATCCGTGGTCCTGTCTTCGTCGCTGTGTGGTGTCCGTGCTCTGGCCTCATCTGGGGCAAGGGAAGACAGGGAGAGGTTTTTTTTTTTTAAGATTTTATTTATTTATTTATGGGAGACACAAAGAGAGGCAGAGACAGAAGCAGGCTCCATACAGGGAGCCCGATGCGGGCCTGGATCTTGGGACTCCAGGATCACGCCCTGAGCTGAAGGCAGATCCTCAAGCTCAACCGCTGAGCCACCCAGGCATCCCTGAGCAGGAAAGTTCTAATCTTGGGTTCTGACTCTGCCTCTCCTGGTCACTTGCTCTGTGTCTCCAGAGAAAGACCCTACCTCCCCCTGGGGCTCCGTTTCCCTCCCTGTAAACCAAATTGCCCTCCAGTTGGAAAGGTTCCATGTTTCCCCCTTTGCTCTGGTCACTAGGAAACTCAGAGTCGAATGTGTGTCTCATTTCATTGTACTTTGAGACAATGGTACTTGGATCCCTTCTTCTCACCCAACCATACTTTGAGGCATGTCCTTTTGAGACAGAGGGACCTCTGGGTCCCCTGACTCCTTACTTCCAGCTCCGTCTCAGGACCGTGCCCCCCGCTTTTTCCGCTCCGTGTTCTGGAGCTTAGTCACCAGCTTCCTCTCATGGCCACCAGGGCTGGGGCGGTTGGTGTTGGCAGCAGCTTCTCTCTTGGTGCGACCTTTCCGGCCTCCCACTCCTGGGAACCAGGCAAGAGGCTGAGGTGAGGTTGGCGGAGGCATGAGACATCCAAGGAGAGGCAGGGGGTCTGGAGCGCAGGGTGGACAGAGCATGGTTTGGGGGAGGCAGACTGGGGAGTGGTCACCACATGGCTTTGGGGCAGTCATAATCCCTGTTTCCCTATCTGTGGAACGAGGGACCCCTGATGGTTGCTCCAATATCCTAGGGGTGTGTGGCGTCCCAGGGCTGAGCAGGACAGCACTCAGGGTAAGAGGGGTTAAGAAGGACTTGGGGATGAGGACAAATCTAAGGAGGAATCCTAGTTGGGGCGTGGGGGTAGATGTGGAGGGATCAGGAAGGTGACAGGGCCAGACCTTACCCAGGCAGGAATGAGCCAGGCTATAGAGGTCATACTCATCCAGGCTGGGGTCTTCGTCCTCTGGGCCTGGGGGCTGCTGAGCCCGGCTGGCTGCTCCCGGGAAGGTGGACATTATATCTGACTCTCCCTTGCCGTCTGTCTCTCTGTCGTCTTCAAAAGCTTTGTTTGTGTCTGGTTTCCCCGACACCTCCCTCTTCACTGGCCCCAACTTATAAAGGCCACGTGTCCTCCTCAGGCCCTGTCTGATGCAATCTGGTCCTTTCCCAGAACCCGACCCAGTAAACAGCAATCACGAGAGGGGGAAAGAGTCGGTCCTGTGAGTCCCAGCCCCTTCCCCTCGCCTCCGCCCTCTCACTGGGGCTCGCCCAGCTGGGTATTTTTCCACAGAGGAGATCCCCGCCCCTCAGGGAGGAGGAAAGAGGCAGAGTCTGAGCATAAACAGTCCTTGGGATAATGGCCAGTGGGGATCTGAGGGCCTCACCTGGCTGACTCCTTCCTATCCGTCCCCTGCCCCCTGCCTCACACCTGACCCCCACCCCAATTCTGGCTCAGACTCAGGACTCTGGTGGCAGATTGTGGAATGAACAACACACCACAAGCTAGGTCAGTGGTTTTCGCCCCTAACACGCCCAACACCCCTTTTCGATAAGAAACATCTGGAAAGCCCCCTTTATATCCTGAGCTGTGAGGGGGAGTGGGTCCCTAGGTAGTTTCCCTCACTGGAGAGGGAGGTTAACAGTGTGGTGCAGATTCTGGAGCCAGCTGCCCTGGGTTCAGACCTCTGACCTCCTCCTTCCTGGGTGACCCCAGACAGGTCACCATACTTCTCTGCGCCCCAGTTTTCTCTTCTGTAAAAAAATGAGGATGATGAGAATTGCATCAACCTCACAGACTTCATGAGAGAATTGAATGAGACACCCCCCACATTTGTGTAGGGGACACTTGCAACGGTGCCTGGTACCTTGTAAGCTGTGCTACAGGAGTCATTCACCTAATTCCCAAACAACTAGATAATGTCGTCCCTATGATGTAAAAGAAAAGTGATTTATAATGAAATAATGTCTTTCAAGACATGAGTATACAGAGGTAGAAGACATTACGAAGTAAACAGGTGTTTGTACCTAACATGAATTAAGGGAAGGGATTCAGACAAGAAATGCATGCAAGGGGCGCCTGGGTGGCTCAGTAGTAGAGCATCTGCCTTTGGCTCAGGGTGTGATCCCGGGATCCTGGGGTCGAGTCCCGCATCAGGCTCCCCCTAGGGAGCCTGCTTCTCCCTCTGCCTGTGTCTCTGCCTCTCTTAGTGTCTCTTATGGATAAATAAATAAAATCTTTCAAAAAAGAAAAGAAACTCACGAAAGTGGAAATTTCCACTCTTGCCTCAAGGGATCTGCCCTTTGTGGGTCCAGTTGACCCAGAGAGGCCACACCCTGCCCACTGATGTTTTTGCTGAAGTTTATGTGCCAGCTCCCACAGTACCGGGCAGGGAAGGAGGCAGATGCAACCTTCCACCTCTTTCTTTCTTTCTTTCTTTCTTTCTTTCTTTCTTTCTTTCTTTCTTTCTTTCTTTCTTTCTTTCTTCTTTTCTTTCTTTCTTTTCTGTTTTAACCTTAGTAGTCTCGCACAATAGGACAGGCTCGGGGGGGGGGGGGGGTATCCCTGGGTGGCTCAGTGGTTTAACGCCTGCTTTTGGCCCAGGGCGTGATCCTGGAGCCCCAGGATCGCATCCTGTGTCAAGTCCTGTGTCGGGCTCCCTGGATGGAGCTTGCTTCTCCCTCTGCCTGTGTCTCTGCCTCTCTCTCTCTCTTTCTCTGTGTCAATCATGAATAAATAAATAAAATTAAAAAAAAATAGGACAGGCTGGGGTCAGACCAGGTGTTCATTCTCTGCTAACATTCCCCCTTTGCTGTGAACTCGTTCAAACACTGTCTCATTTCCATGTTGCCTAATTTCACCTTCCCCCAAACCCTGGGATAACCCAAGTTCGTCCTTTGCTGAACAAGAAGAGGTACTTCTGCTTGTGTTTCTCCCTGGCTGGAGCCAGAATAAAATTTAGTTTTTGTTTTTCAGGTTTGGTTGATGTGTGAATTCTTGAACCTCCAGGAAATGAAAGTGAGGTCATTGAATAAAACTGAGTTTGGGATAATCATGTAGGGGCCAAAGGCAGGTCTCTCAACAATGAGTCACTTTAACATATTGGTTATTTTAAATAAAATAAGAGACAGCCCGGTGAGACTGACTTTCAGCCCTCCTTTGTACCCCTGAAAGCAGGAAATAAATCACCCAGGTAAAAGTTCCCCTCCCTGTATGGGGAGGTAAAAAGACACCCTTATCATCAGAGATAGGACATTTTTTTTTAATTATTTATTTATTTATGATGGAGAGAGAGAGAGGCAGAGACATAGGCAGAGGGAGAAGCAGGCTCCATGCACCGGGAGCCCGACGTGGGATTCGATCCCGGGTCTCCAGGATCGTGCCCTGGGCCAAAGGCAGGCGCTAAACCGCTGCGCCACCCAGGGATCCCAGGACATTTTTTTTTTAAGATTTTATTTACTTGACAGAGAGAGAACAAGAGAGAGCACAGAGCAAGAGGGAGAAGCCGACTCCCCACTGAACAGAGAGCCCAACACCGGGGCTCGATCCCAGGACCCCCAAACCATGACCCAAGCCAAAGGCAAATGCTTAACAAACTGAGCCACCCATCTGCCCCCAGAAGTAAAACATTTAGAGCTGAGATTTTCATTACTTTTTTTTTTTTTTTTTTTACTAATTTACAAAGTTTTCTTTCTCCTTTCAATTCTTCACAGTTTCATCATCCCTTTGTCTAAAAGGATAAATACCACCTGCCTCGGACATTTCCGATTTCATGACTGGGCCTCCATGCGCACATAATAAAACTTTGCTCTCTTTTAAAAGTTTTATTGATTTATTCATGAGAGACACACACACAGAGAGAGAGAGGCAGAGACATAGGCAGAGAGAGAAGCAGGCTCTATGCAGGGAACCTGGTATGGGACTCCATCCGGATCCCAGGACTTGCCCTGGGCTGAAGGCAGGCAACCCAAACTTTGCTCTTTTCTGTTGTTAATCTGTCTCGGGTCAATTTAATTCTTAGTCCATCTGGAAGATCTTGAAGGATAGGAGTTTTCCTTTTCACCAGTGACAACAGACCCTATGAGGAGGGAAAGAGGAAAGTAGCCTTAAGGAAAGGTAACACACCCAGACAAATTAAAGTGGAGACCACTAGGAGATATGGGGGTGGTAGGCTTCCTCACTACATGGGGTGGAGTAGGTTCTAGGCTCAGGTCATTGTAAATCAGCGTTTTTGCTTTATGTCTAGCAAGACACTCAGACGTCTGCAGAATGTGGGACAGTTCTGCATGCGACTGTCCTGCTCTGCCTCCCAGTCACTATGACTATCAAGGACACCCCCACAAATTCCCCATTACTTGCCTCGAGATCTTGGGCTCACTTCTGACTTTCGATCTGCTCATCTGGAAAGGGGGCGTGGTGGTGGTGACAGCACTGCTAGGTGTGAAAGGGCTTTGTCCCAAGCCAGCCAAGCCAGCCGAGCCAGTATGGGGTGGACTGCTATCAACAACCGATTTTCAAAGAAGGGAAACAACAGCTCAGAGAGACTTGAGGTCACACTGCTGATGGGTGAAGGATTCCTCCTGCATCCACCTGACTCCAGTTCCAGCCTGGTTCTAAATCAGCACAGCTGGCCAAACACTGGCAAAGGTTTGGCGACTGTGGGTATGGAAGCACCTGTCAGAGATTCCTGCCTTCTGCCCTCTCCGTCCTTCTCTCTTCCCTTTCCCCCTCCTTCCTTCCCCTCTGCTTTGGGCAAGGCTGGGTATTAAGAATGCCCCATTTTTACCACATCACCCTCATTTTATTGTACTTTCTCCATAGCATTCAGTTATTACTAATTGAAAATATCTTTTTTATTCATTTACTTCTCCATGATTTGGCCCCTGCTAGAATGCAGTCCTGGTTTGATTTAGCTAGAGGTGAAATGAGTATGCTGTGCAGCCAGACCACCTAGGTCCAAAGCTTGGTTCTTGTGCTTGTTAGTTTTGTGCCCTTAGACAAGTTACTCCATCTCTCAGTGTCTCAGTTTCCTCATTTGTAAAATGGGATTAAGAATAATGCGTATCTGGTAGGATTGTTGTAAAGGCTTGGCATAGTGTTATTTTATGGTAATAATAAAGCTATTGCCCTTATCCTTCATAAGAGCAGGAATCTTATCTATCTTGCATCCCCTATGCCTTGCATACAGTCAGTGCTCAATAAATGCTCAGATGAATTCATGAAGCTATTTTATGATCTGTGAGGTTTTTGGGTTTTTAAAAAGATTTTATTTATTTATTCATGAGAGACACAGAGAGAGAGAGAAAGAGGCAGAGACACAGGCAGAGGGAGAAGCAGGCTCCAGTCAGGGAGCCTGACGTGGGACTCGATCCTGGGTCTCCAGGATCATGCCCTGGGCTGAAGGTGGCACTAAACCGCTGAGCCACCTGAGCTGCCCTGATCTGTGAGTTTTTAAACTTCTAGGTGCACTGCTCTGAGGGAACTGAGAGGCCTGATCCTAGTCCCACAGAAGACTGTGGAGACAATGTGACCATCCTCCGTGCAGCCAGGGAAGGACTTCTTCCTGGCCTTGATCCTGCTGGTGCTGGAAGAAAAAAAGTCTAGATCCTAGGGGAGCAGGGAGGGCAGAGGGAAGATGGCCAAGAGAGAAGAGACTTTAGGAACCCCATGGCGTTGACCTGTAGGGCCCAGGTGACTCAGTCGGAAAAGTTGAAGTGTTTTCCTATCCTCCAGCCTCCAAGTGTGTATGTGTAATCAGCCACAAGGAAGTTTATTTTCTTTTTACATATGACTGTACCTTCGTGGCATTCCAGGAGATTGCCAGGCACACCTATTACAACACAGTGTTTTCAGCCTGAAGTAGACCCAGAGGCCTGGGGAGTTCTCAGGAGGTTACACAACCCAATGGGGAGTAGGAAGGGTGGGAAGGGTGGGGAGAGAATCAGGGAAGGCTTCCTAGAGGCAGCGAAGTCTAAACACGAGTGACTGAGAAAGATAGCAAGGTATACCCAACTCTACGAGTTAAACTGTCCAAGTCAGGAAAGCCTGGGTAGCCTGATGGATGTGCAGAAGTCTTTGGCTCAAAGGATCTGGAGATTCCCAGGCCCAAGACAGGAGATGTAATCAAGCTGGGTTGGTGGCATCACTGTGTACCAAGGAGATGCAAGAATACTAAATGAGGTGAAACAAGATGGGTCTGTATCACTT